GAATTTATGAAATTACAACTCGAAGTCAAGTCGAGTCGAAAAAATCAATTTTTCTAGTCCAGTCAAGTTTTGCACACTCCTAATCCATGTTATATGTAGGAGGGCAATTGCCCCCACAAACTTTGATGGTCTAATTACCTCTTAAGCCACTAGCAGTTTTGAAACTATTGCAATTAAGCCCTTGTCCCTCCCAAAATTTTCATGTATAATTGGTTTTTAGGACATTGTCAGTTTTAAAATTAATGATATTAAGCCTTAATTCCAAATTTGTCCAATTTAATTACATTTTAAAAACTTTGAATTCTAAGATTAATGAAATTAAATTCTTAATCTCTTTAATTTTTATAGTTTAATTACTTTTTAAGACTATTTATTTTGAAGTTAAATAACTTGTCCTCTCATAGTGCAATCATGGCTCCATCCTTGTTGTGCATGTAACAACTTATATTACTACGACCAAGACTTACTTAAGGGTGACCCCATAAACCAGGGTCGTTATGTTGTGTGATAGTTCTAATTTAAGATTAATTTAAGGTGGGTTTCAATCTAAAATGTTATATAAATTTATAACATTTTTATTGTAATTAAAAGCTACATTACGAGGGTTTAGAGCTCTCAGCCGTAAATATTACATTTTTCGTAATATTTTCGATTTCAACCTAAAATGTTATTTTGTCCAATCTAAAAATCTACGCTATTAATAAGATTTTCAATTACAATTTATTTCTGCCACTTTTTAATCTTATATTAAAAAACTATATTTTAGAATTTCTTCATAAACCAATTCAACTAAGCCTTTACAAGTAATGAAAGATGAATATATGTGCAAATATCAACAACCATTCAGTATCATAAAACCATGTCGATTTCAGGAGGAAAATACATACATGAAAAATGCTCAAACAAATCTCTGATTCTGCATGCAACTTTTGTATAATATTTAATTTCTCTTTTTTTATTTATTTACTGGTATTCAATCTATTGATCGATTAACCCAGATTATATATCGCTATAAAACGTTACAACTCAATTTACTCCATTCAAAACGTCAGAGTTCAAACTCTGACCTTGTTGAAGATCAACTCATTGTTGTTAACAATCTCTCTTTTTTAAGGGGAAAAAACAAGTATATATTTTATCACAGCACTCCCATGAATCAAAGATACAGTTGATGTGCACCGTTCATCAAGGCTTTATATCAGTGGAGATTGTTTGAGTTGATTCCAACTTCAAATGCTAAACTACAACCACAAGTACATCATTGCCTGTGCACATAAAATGATCACATTATCATTCTTTGAAGCAAAGGAATATAAAAAGCCTGTGCCCATTGACGTTTCAATGCAGATCAAAGGAATACAATGCTTTTGTTTACTAGACAGTGCTAAAAATGAAAAAGGTAACCACAGATCATACCTCTGTGAGAGGAACTAGAGACACCTCGTCCGAAGGAGAGGGTGGTTGCTTCGGTTTCCAATTTCGCATCTCCGATCGTATTGAATTCAGCTGTTCTCTTAGATCCTTCAACAAATTCAGTTCCTCTTCACTTGTTTCTATAATTTCATGCCTTGTATTGTTTCTTCCACTCTCAAGCTTCTCAACTCTCTGTCTAAGATGTTTCAACTCAGATTGATCGCCGGTAACGCCGGCGGCTAAGCCACGAAGAATCGATTTGCTGTCTGCATCCGTAGTCTTATTTGCCCTTAGAAAGTTATTCATCTTTATCCAGTCAACTTCATCTTTAACAGGCAACCGCAATTTGTCTTCCTGTATCAAATCTGGCTTTGTAAGTCGATCATCGCTTTCCACATCAAAGCAAGTTTTGCCTTTTGCACTGGTTTCAGGAGCTTCAAATATATCAAGAACAATTCCAGAGGAAATAGCAGAACTGGAAATGGGTAATTCTGTTGAATATCCATCATTAATTCTCTTCTTTGAAGAGAAATCTACTGGTAATCTTGCAGGCAAAGAACTGAGTCGTCTAATAGTAGATTTAATACCCTTCTCTCCATTGAATGCATCATTTCTTTCTGCAGGGCGATTCGATGTAAACTGTTTTTCGAAATCATTCAAATCATCACACCCCAAGCTTAGAAGCTTATGCCTATAAGCCTGAAGTTGGAACTCAAGGGAAGAGATCTCCATTTCTTTCTGATATATAAGTTCTTCGAGAATTGCTAGAGATTCCTCAGCGTAACCAATTTTTTCTTCAGCCAATCTCTTGTATTGAATTGCTTCCATCTTCATTGACGCCTTCTCGCTTTGCAGCCGCAGTATCATCGACAAAGATTCGTTCGTGGCGGTCGCGGAGCATTCTCTTTCGTCGTCGAGCTCGGAATATAGCTTCTGAAGAAGCTGCTGTTGAGAGCGAAGCGTTTCCTTTAGAACTGTAACATCCGTTTCTTGTATTGGCAGAGTTGCAGAACTTCCAGCCATGGCGGATTAGTACAACTCAGATACAAAGTTAAGCAGCCAGAAAATGATGGTCGCTCCTTTACATATTCATCTGAAAGGCATGGAAAATACTTTGTGAGGAATAATCAAACACAACAATATTTATTTATTTTTCTTACGAAAACATTTATGTCCATAAAGAATCGTAAACTTAATTACCAAGTAAGAGTAAACCGGGCATAATCTGGAACTTAATTGCATCATCATACGTTTTTTATTGCAAGGAGCTATTTCATTGGACTCTTTCAATGATTTTGAGCTTTTTGGACAAAGTTTATCTAATACAAACTTGCATTCTGGCAACTTAAGATGATGCACAACTTTTTTTAGTCTTTATAGTTGTTATTTATTAACCATTTCTTCATTGATAATATTAACTAGAGGTGTTGTTACCATACCAAACTGAAATATAAATAAAATTTTGTAAATTTATCTATTCATGTACAAGCAAATATATTACTTTTATATTTTGCAAACCTAATAAACATGTATACAACCATGTTTACTTATATAAAAGGTAAACTACATGTATGCAAAATCATACCTAACATTTAGTTTATGTTTCATTTTGTTATCCCGTTAAAAGCTTTTTTTTGGATAAGTCCCGTTAAAAGCTTTAAGGAATTGCTATACGTAATTTTTATGGGTAAATTACATCATTCATCACTCAATTATCTTCTCACTCCTATTTTGGTCACTACTCAACGTTTAAATTGTTCATGTTTTAATCACTCTAATTTATTTCATTAATAATTTTTGTGGCATGACATTTTTTTATTATTATTTTATTAATACATAATTAAAATAAAAACTAAATTTGACAGTTAGAGGATTAAATTATGAGTAAATTGGAAGTTAAGTAATTAAATTAAAAAATTAAACTTTAGTGACCAAAATGGGAGTGAGAAGATAGTTGAGTGATAAATGATGTAATTTACCCATAAAAAGTACCATGTTATAACAGTTCCATGAAGTTCTAACAGCAAGGTATCAAAATAAAACAAAAGGAAAACTTTAGGTAAGATTTTGAAACAAATAAAAATTTAAATACTGAAAGGGGACAAAAAGTAATAGTTTAGGTACTAAACGTGCACTTTACCCTATATAAAAGTATATTTGATAATAGGATAAATTAAACCATTAATCAATCAACTATCTTTTCACTTCTATTTTGGTCACTAAAATTTAAAGGCATTTTTTGCGAGAATAAGGGACATGTCTAAGCTACGTTCGATCGGAGCCAGGCGTTACCAAATCTAAACTACTTATCATACCCAGAATCTCTAAATCTCAAATCATAAACCCCCTCCCACCCTTACTGGCATCGCACACCCTCATAACAAGACTTGCAAGAATTTGCAAAATTTTGTAAACCACAATATAAATAAAGTTTTGTAAATCTATCTAAAGACAGATGCATAATTTTATGTTAAGAGACGAATATTTAAAATTTTACGAGGAGTTGAACTTATAAAATTCCAAAGACGAAAACATATTTTCAAGAAAAATACATAAAATATCTAAAATATATGATAATTTTAAATTTTCAAGAGTCAACAACACCACCTGTCCATTTAATTATTCTTGAATCTATCTATTTATGTACAAGCAAATATATACTTTTATATTTTGCAAACGTAATAAACATGTATGCAACCATGTTTTACTTAAATAAAAACATATTGAAAAATATAACTTTGCAACGACAAGTCCTACGCCCATTATTCCATTTTCATCTTGGAAAAATCCATAGAATAATCAATAAGAACGTAGCTCATCCGACAGATATGGGAATCCTTTCCTAGGGCACACATAATATACACGTTTCGGTTTGGCCATCAATTTAACTTGGTAGAGTTTTGTAGGGAGTTATTAATTAAATTGATCTTGATTGTGCAACCATTAATACGAGTCCAACATTATATAGGCTACTTGGATCAATCTTGTGGTAACCCAAATTACTTGTATATGTTTTTGGTGTCCCTTAATGAAAATCCCACCTACTATACAGAACATGGGACCTTGGTGTGTGAATGTGGCATTGATACTCTGTAGAGACAGTCTAACCCAAATATTAAACTCCACATTAACCACAAAGTAACTTGGAATAGAACTGAATCCAAAACATGTGTTTAACTTTTTTTCTTTTAATTAATCAACATTCATGGATTAGCGGAATCACAAAAAAGTATAACATACATGAGAGTGGAAAACATGTCCGAAAACTAAGTCGAACAAAATTATGAACCAAGGAAATTTTGTCATTGCATACCATGGTTTTCATAAATTATGCCCAAACACAAAAATAACAGGAACAAATAGTCTAGAATCATTCCTTCCAAATAGTTACATGCTAAGTCTCAACTCAACCGGGTTGTAAAATTACGAGAACTGTAAAAACATTGATTTTTAGTGACCAAGATTTTGTTGAAGCGAGAGAACCCAATAAAGAGGTGCAAGATTCATAGTGTTAGGAATTCGATTCCGCTTATAAATTCAATATCATCAAAAAGGAGAATAATTTTTTTTCGTAAAACAAGAATTGTATGGGGTGTATCAGGCCCAAGCTTTTGTGCAACGCTTGGGTGACACACGAGAGACCCAATAGCAAGCTATTGTGGTAGCCTCTCCCCTGAAAATATAATTTAATATCATGTGGGCTATAGCCTACGTATCAAATATTATACTGATAAGAACAGATACCACACTTGAACTTAGCCAAAAAGCCGAATAAGGTATGGTTTTCTACATTCAATCCCGCTTCTTTTATAAGCTGTTCCTCGCCTTGTTTTTCTAAATCTTTAGGCAGCCAACGCATTTCAGCTTACTGGCCCTGAGATAGAAAACAGCCGGTTGGGGATTGACGTTTCTCCATTTTTCTTCTGCTATAACTTCATGGGTTAAGGAAGATAAATAATCACCAGAAAAAAATTTCAATTCTTTTCCTGTCAATAACAATCCTTTAACCCACACGCATAAATATATATATATATATATATATATATATATATATATATATATATATATCTTCCCTTTCTTCTTTCAGTCGCACCGACTCGTAAGTGTAAAATACTGCCAAACCTTCCAACACATGGAATATTATTCCCTTCATATCCACACAGGTAACCTTGATATGTTCTTAAGGGTGACCGTATAAACCAACTCAACTAAGCCTTGACTTGACAAGTAATGAAAGATGAATATATGTGCAAATATCAACAACTATTCAGTTCTACAAATCCATTTCGATTTCAGGTGGAAAATATAAACATGAAAATGCTCAAACAAACCTCTGCTTCTGCATGCAATTTTTGTATCATGTTCATTGTATATGCAAAACAATCTCTTGTTTTTTTAGGGGAAAAAACATCTATTTTGTCACAGCACTCACCATGACCCAAAGATACCATTATACAGTATATGTGCAACATTCATCAAGCCTTGATATCACTGCAGCTTGTTTTTGTTGATTCCAACATCTTAATTACAACCAACAGAACATCATTGCCTGTGCACATAAAATGGTCACATTATCAAGCTTTGAAGAAAAGAATACAAGACACAATGAAATCCAGAATAGAGGCATTGATGTTTCAAAGCAGATCAAAGGAATATAATGCTTTTGTTTACTAGACAGTGCTAAAAATGAAAAAAGGTAATCACAGATCATACCTCTGTGAGAGGAACTAGAGACACCTCGTCCGAAGGAGAGGGCGGTTTCTTCCGTTTCCAACTTTGCATCTCGGATCGTATTGAATTCAGCTGTTCTCTTAGATCCTCCAACAAATTCAGTTCCTCCTCACTTCTTTTTACAATTACATGCCTTGTATTGTTTCTTCCACTCTCAAGCTTCTCAACTCTCTGTCTAAGTTGATTCAACTCAGATTGATAGTCGGTAACACCGGCGGCTAAGTCATGAAGAGCCGATTTGCTGTCGGCAGCCGTAATCAGCAACTTATTTACGTTAATGCATTCAGTTCCATATTCAGCAGGCAATTTTCCCTCAGGCTTTGCACATAGAAAGTTATTCATCTTTATCCAGTCAACTTCATCTTTAACAGGTAATCCCAATATATCTTCCAGTATCAAATCCGGCTTAGTAAGCCGATCATCGCTTTCCAAAACCGACTTACCCTTACACTTTTCCACGTCAAAGCAAGTTTTGCCTTCCGCACTGGTTTCAGGAACTTCATGTATAACTGGAACTTCAAATACATCATGAACAACACCAGAGGAGATACAAAAACTTGAAATGGGAAATTCTTTTGAATCTTCATGAGATTTTATTTTATGATATTCATTCATTGAGCTAGGATTTAGGGACACTGATTCAACCTTACCATTTGAAATTTTCTTTAGACCAACTTCTTTACAATCTGCAATCTGTTTCACCTTTTCATCCAACAATCTGATCTGTTCCAAGTAAGAATTGAATTCACCAGCTGCTGAATTTACAGAGCTTCCCCTCGGACCCAAGACCTGAGCGCGAACTACCGTGTCGGAATTTCCGGCATCCGTCCTCGAACACAAATCCTGCACCGGTGCTGGATTGTTTTCTCCATCATTAGTATCCTTCTTTGAAGAGAAATCTACTGGTAGACGTGCAGGCAAAGAAGTCAGTCGTCTAACAGTAGATTTAATACCCTTTTCTCCATTGAATGCATCATTGCTTTCTGCAAGTGGATTCGAAGTAAACTGTTTTCCGAAATCATTCAAATCATCACATTCACACCCCAAGCTTAGAAGCTTATACCTATAAGCCTGAAGTTGGAACTCAAGGGAAGAGATCTCCATTTCTTTCTGATATATAAGTTCTTTGAGAATTGCTAGAGATTCCTCGGCATGACCAATCTTTTCTTCAGCCAATCTCTTGTATTGAATTGCTTCCATCTTCATTGACGCCTTCTCGCTTTGCAGCCGCAGGATCATCGACAAAGATTCGTTTGTGGCGGTCGCGGAGGATTCTCTTTCGACGTCGAGCTCAGAATATAGCGTCTGAAGAAGTTGCCGTTGAGAGCGAATCGTTTCCTTTAGAACTGTAACATCCGTTTCTTGTATTGGCAAAGTTGCAAAGCTTCCAGCCATGGCGGATTAGTACAACTCAGACACAATTGTTTTTTTCTCCCAAATATTAAGCGGCCAGGAAATTATGATTCCTCCTTCACATACTCATCTGAAGGGCATGGAAAATACTCAGAAATAATCAAACACAAAACAATATAGTATTTATTTTTCTTACGAAAACATTTATGTCCATAAAGCACCATAATCAGGAACTTCACTGCGTCAAATTTATAAATATTACCATATTTAGTAATTTTTGTTGAATTATTTAAACCGTCTCCTGAAACGTTTTTTATAGTGTCACGTTTATTTTATAAAAGGGTTGTGAATTAATAATACTATTATTATGAATTTATTGAGTGGTCATTAGTTATAAAAAGGAGTATTGTTCTATTTAAAAGTTTTAAATTCAAACAGTTATATCGGTAGATTATGTGTTATTAATAACTTTTTTTTTTTGAAAAGATAATCATATGCTACTATAATTTTTTTAATATGTTTTGATTTTTTTCTATAAATCTTATATCATTGTGTAAAGCAAAATTTGGGTTGGAATTAAGAATCATTTTCAATAAAATTATTTCAAAATGAGTTTATATATCAGGTCAAAGTCAGTAGGTGATAAGCAAGTGAAAATTATGTAAAAAGAAGAAGAAAAATCTGTGTAATATGTTGGAATTTATTGAAATGGATAATCTTAATTCTTACCCAGATAATTTGAAACAATGAAAAACCATAAAAGAGAAACAAAATTCAGATAAGAAATGCAATGTTTAAGAAACAAAATCCAGACACAAGGCATTGTTGACTTAGAATAAAATGCATGAATAAACCAAAATTCTAAACAAACCGTCTTTCTGAATATACCAAGGCCCCGTCGGCTTTAAGTTTTAAGTGAACACATTTGTTTATTAAATTCATATAATCGACAAAATCATCTCAAATTTATTAAAAAATAAATTAAAATCATAATATTTTTATTTAAAGATTTTAATTAAAGAGTGCGAAAAGAAATCTGGCCTCTTTGATTATGTTGGATTCCGACAGTATTTAAGCACTCAAGTTTCGACTTTATCCAATAAATAAAATAAAAAAATATTATTACCTTAACATTTGTTTAATAATTTAATCGGATTTGAGCACCTTTTTTTAATTTTATAAGAAAGGGCATATCACATAATTAAATGAAATTAATTTTTGTTTATGAATTATCAATTATACTAATATTTAAATATTGAGCAAGTCTTAAGTTCGAGACCATGTGTACACATAAAAATTTTATCGGAAGACTCACATATTAAAATTAGATGTATAATGTAAGTTGATCTAAATTAATTAGGACAAAAATCCTAAAACCACAAGAATAATAAAAAAAAATATCATCAATACAACCACATATTTTATATTCACCTAAAGTTTATGATTGAATGAGAGGTTTGTCATGAATCTATTTACTAACTTTAATAATTAAAAAATATCATTTTTAAAAATATAAATTTGAGCAAGTGTATCTTTAAACTGTATGCTCATTGTCAATAATTAATAGAATATTAAAAAAAACAATGGTTTATCATTACACATGTTCAAACCTCGTTGAAAGCCTTCATGATTAGTCTTTTTTTTTTCTTTAAAAGGCAAAAAAAAACTTTTTTATTTTTTAAAAAAAAGAAAAGCCATAACTTAACTGTAGTAGAGTGTAGAAGCGGGTCCCACATGCCTTAGCTTGCAGCCGACCAGATCATTTGGTAAGCATTTCCCAGTCCCACACGTTAATTCGTGTTATTGGACAGTGGCATTACAAAGTTTAATTAATTTGCACTCAGTATATATTATGCCATGAATTATGTTTGTCACTTCAATGGACCGACATTATAAAAAATCATAAAATTTATGACAGACCAAGAAATTAGCCATGTGTTCCTTAAAAAAAGGAAAGGAGAAAGAAATTAGCCATGTAAGAAGATAGACGCTTGACGATTAGAAATTGACTTAAACATTTTAAGATAAACAAAGTGCCACGATCTGTTTCATATGTTTTAATTTTGTTATTTAATAATTTTTAGTACTTTATTCTTAATCCAATTTTTAAGAGATAAGATTAAAAACTTTATCTAATATTCCTTCTCACAAATAAATATTCGCTTTTGTTTGTACGTGGAGGTGTAAGTTGTTCCAACGAGATTTTTCCACAACTGAGAATGATTTCGGACCGCGAGGAATAGAGTGATGCCTAACGGTCACGCGATCCTGAGATTGTGAGGTCGTGAAGGGGTCACAAAGAGTAGTAGGAACGGATCGGAAGATCTTATTTTAGGATATAATTTTTTTAAAAATTTAAAAGAAGATATATTTATAAAAAAATGTAAAAATATATTATCAATTAAAATTATAAAAAATTAAAATACATATTAATTTAAATTTTTTAAAACGAGTGTCTCCGTCAGTCTATTTCAATCCATTCCTGACAAGAACTAAGAGGTCGAGCATGGCCTCATGTTATCATGCGATCTTCAGTAAAGACCAAACCATGATGGAAGGTAAAGCATTGTTTTTTTAAATGTCAAATAATAATTTAAATTAATTATTCAAATTAAAAAATATAACTTAAGTCTGACCAATAAACCATCAAATTTGTTTTAATATTCTATAATTATTTCGAGATAGCATTTTTTTAGAATATCTTTTAACTATTAACAACGTAAATGTATTTTACAAATATAACTACTAGAATTTGTATTTTTTAACAGTGACAGATTCAGAAAAATATTTTTCTGATAAATATATATATATATAATAACATAAATTTTGTATACGGGTGAACATATATGAATTTCAGGACTGGCATAATTTTAAAAGGGGTAATGATACCATATACAACGGGTAATAATACATGTTCATCGAGTTTCAAAACTCAATTGGGTAGTTTCGAAATTAGGTTATTTTTTCAAAATATTGAACCTAGATTTAGTACTGATGCTCGAGGTGAATACTGATATTCTCACTCGAATATCAATAGGCATGAAAAATTTTAACTAAATCTGATACAGATACACAAGAAAAATATTGTTATCTGAACCTTAGTATCAAACACTATTTGTGAACAAATAATACTCTTTAGATAATTATGAAACACTAACTGTTAATGTTAACAAGTCTCATATAAATGATATTTGTACTATAAATATTATTATATTCTCATTCAATTTATAATCGTAAAATGTACAAAGTTATCGTGTGATTGATTATGCTTTTGGCTGATTTTCACAACAACATTGGGGAATAAAAAGTTGTGGTTTAGCGATAATAACCCATCATTTTCATGTGTTTTGTCCCCCACAATATAATAAAGCTCAACACTCTATAATATATATATATATATATATATATATATATCCTGGTTGTGCTTTTTTGGCATTATTTTATGAAGGATAAAAGAAAACACTACTAGAGAAAAGCAAACGGTTCTCATGGCGTGTTCGTTTCATTGATCGATGGTTAAAGTTTTCGGATAATATTTTTTAAATTATGAGTTCAATATTTATTATAAATAAATTTCTCCTTCCCTTTGCCTAAGTCCGTCTTGTTAAAAAAATTCATTTCAATTTATTTATTATAAAAGTGGATATTTTAATTTTTGTATTATATCAAAAAGTTTATTTTAGTTCCGTTATTATAAAAAATGTATTTTAATTCACGTATGTTTGGAAAGTTAATATTTGAAATAAAATAATAAAATAATTATTAATTGATTTAAATATTTTGGTCAAATAACTCTTTAGGTTCATCTCAATTCCCAACTCAAACAAATTGATCTTCCAAAAAAATATGAACTTTTACATAAAAATTTTAAACACTTGTGAAATTTAAATACAAAATTAATTCATATTCTAACTTCAAATTATGTTGTATTCACTTATAATAATATTGTAATTACAAGCTAAAATATAAAAGTATTTAATTAAAAATGTACGTTAATTTTTCTTGAAATTTATTGCTTAAATGAATGATAAAATGTCACTAGGCCTTAAGCCCAACAAATAAGTAAAATAATTCAAAAATACACCGATCCCTAAATAATAAAACTAAAACAAAAAAGGAATCTTGAAACCTAAAACCGACCGTTCTACTCTTTGCTTCTCCCGTTTGGACATTTGTTCTGTGAAGTTTGCGTAAAGAGGTAAAAAGAATTGAGATAGATCTTGTGTCTCTGTCTCTGCCGTGGATGTCAGCTATGGAGGATTCATTAGTCTTCTATCTTCCGCCACTTGTCTTGCTACTCGATTTGGAGTCTCTTCGATCCAAAAGACGAGTCAGATGCCAAGAGATCGGCTGCCTCGTATTGACGGAAAATGTCAACATCATTATACATCGTTCATATTTACTCATTTTAATGGTATACATTAAATAAATTACTCTCTTTTTAGATCAATTTTCTCAATTTAAAGAGGCTTAAAGTTTCTCTAACCAAAATCTTTAAACCAGTTAATTATAACTTTAAAATTTTAGACCAAAATTTAACTCTTTAAGGGACTAAAATGTCCCTTTCAATAATAGAAGGACTACAATAAACGTTAAGATATATACAACAGAATAACCTCTAATAGACTTTTATTCTACTTTTTTCCATAAAAAATATAATAAAAAGAATATAATATATTGTTCCTCAAAAACTAAAAACAAATGAAAAGATTCCGAAGCAGATAAAGATTGAGTTATTCAAATTTTTTTGATTAGTTTGTTTTTTTTATTAAAAAAATAACAACGATAATAATAAATGTATTTATCCTCTTTAAAAAAATGTGTATTTATCCTAGATGATTTCAATTTGGTCTTTCTAAGATTAAGTTTAAATTCAGATTTTTTTTAATACTAAATCTAAATATACAGACCTAAATAAGTTTATTGATGTTGTTGAAAGTATGCATTGAAAGTGCATTTAGCAAGGTTGAAAAAAAATGAAATTTTCAACAATGGTAGGCACCAAATATAAAATGTCAAAATTAGGTGCAACAATGGTTGAAAACTAAATGGGCAAATTACAAACTTTAGTCACTAAACTTTTAGTGTATTTATAAGATTAGTCCTTAAGTTTCAACTATAAATACCCTAGCTCATTTAGCT